GTCGGATTGCAGATGGCGGAAGTGTCGGAGGATGATGCGTTGGATCCGGAGGTTGGTGGTGTGGTACGTGAGGACAAGGGGGATTCTTTTTTGGTTCTTATTGCGTGGACGGGGTGTGAGGGATGAGTTGCGGGAGATGTGGGAGACACGGTTGAGGGCGTTCTCGACCACTGAAGGGGAATGTTACAGTCCTTGAGAAACGAGGACAACAGATGTACGGGAGTGGAATGCCTCATTCTGGGAGCAGATGTGGCGGGGGCGAAGGAATTGGGAATAGGGGATGGCATTTTTGCAGGAAGGTGGGTGGGAGGAGGAGTATTCTAGGTAGCGGTGGGAGTCGGTGGGCTTGAAATGAATATCAGTTTCTAGGTGGTTGCCCGAGATGGAGACAGAGAGGTCCAGGAAGGTGAGGGAGGTATTAGAGATGGTCCAGGTAAACTTAAGGTTGGGGTGGAAGGTGTTGGTGAAGTGTATGAACTGTTCGAGCTCCTCGTGGGAGCACGAGGCGGCGCCGATACAGTCATCAATGTAACAGAGGAAGAGGTGGGGTTTAGGGCCAGTGTGAATATGTGATATGCCAATGAGGCTTTTTTACGCCATCACAGAATGTGATGCAATGTCACCTGATCTTGCCTCGTGGCAAGATGAAGCCACAATAAAATATTTCTCAAGTAACATTGATGCTTTCAATTCTTGTCTCTAGAAATATTCCTTAGCGGCACAATTATGCTAAGAATATTATGGCTGACAAGCCAATTGATCTGGATAATATGTTGCCCAAGCCAAAATATAAATGGCATCAGCTGTTGGATAGGAGTGGACAGGCCTGCATGAGTCAAAAAAGGAGGGCTGTTTCATGTGGGACCTGCCCTGGATGCATTACAGCCAACATCTCTAACCTAGGCTGTTACCCCACACCACCTTCTGTAATGCCTGTCTCAGAGAGCAACCCCCGCTTCCTCCCGCAACATCCTCAGATCGAAATCCGTCCTCACCCAATAGCTACAGGATTTATGTTTTCAGGGGCAGTTGTGAACCGCTTTAGGCTCCTTACTGCTCTCCTGCCAGTGGCCTCCTCCAGGATTGATGGAACTGCTAGCTAGTCAAACTAGCTAACCATTCCTGAGGTCAGGACTTGCTGTTGGCGAGGGGTGAAATTGGGTCCACTATTAAACAAGTTAGCCTGCCTGTAGCGTGTTGTGCCAGTGGCTTTCTCGTGCATTTCCTCTGACTCCACTCCTTCAAATGCAGTCCCATCTATCCACCTCAATGATTCCTTATTTTCACCACCTTATGGTTAAAGAAATTTCTCATGTATTCCCCACGTGATTCACCAGCTTTTACAGATGCAACATTGACGCACAGATGCACGGCCCAGACCATCGCAGAAGCTAACCTTCCATTCATGAACTCCATTTATATAGCCCACTGCCACAGAAAGGCTGCGAACATCATCAAAGACCCATCGCACCCAGGTAATTCTCTACTACAACCTCTTTCTTCAGGCAGTAGGTACAGAAGCTTGAACAGACACCAGCAGGTTCGAGAATAGCTTCTTCCCTGCTGTTATTGCTGAGTGAACTAACTTCAAATAATGCTGATCTTTCATAGTACACTCCCTGTGCACTGTCACTTGTATGCCTCTGCCCAGTTTGTTTCATCCTATGATCTGCTTGTAAACAAAGCTTTTTACTGTGCTTGGGTACATGTGACAATAAATCAATCAGACAGCAACAGTCCTGCATCAAGAGATAGTAAGAACTGTCAACGCTGGAGTCAGAGATAACACAGTGTTTGAGCTGGAGGAACACAGCTGGTCAGGCAGCATCAGGGGAGCAGGAAAGTTGATGTTTCCGGTCTGAAGAAGAGTCCAGACTCAAAACGTCAACTTTCCTACTCCTCTGATGCTGCTTGACCCGCTGTTTTCCAACAGCTCCACGCTGTGTTATCTCTATTTATAACAGTCCGGCATCAATTACTTTTACTTGCAATGTAAACATTTTCTTTACAACTTTTCAAACTCCTTCAAACAAGAGTATGAACAAGGAGCTGGTGTAGATTATGTAGTCCCTTGCGCCTGCTCCACCATTTAATAAGATCATCTCATTGAAATCTAAAATCCAAGTTCCTGCTTACTCCCAATGACCTTTCCTGCCTTTTTCACTAAGAATCAACCTACTTCTGCCTTAAAAAATATTCAACATCTTAGCTTCTGCTACCTTTTCAGGAAGAGAAGTTGTGAAGACTCTCAATCCACTGTGAGGAAAAAAAAGTTCTCATCTGTTTAAATAGGCAGCCTCATATTTTTAAACAGTGGCCTGTGGTTCAATATTTTTTCATAATAGGAAACAGTAACTCTCATGCATCTGTAAAGACCCCTCTGGACCTTATAAGTTACGATCAAGACTCCTCTTACTCTTCCAAACTCCAATGGATACCGGCCTACCCTGTGCAACCTTTTCTTACAAGCCAATCTGCCCATTCCGGTTATTAGTCTGATAAATCTCTGATTTGCTTCCAATGTATTTACATCCTTCCTTAACTACAGTGAAGAATACTGCACACAGTTCTCCAAATGTGGTCTCACCAGTGCCCTGCATTACTGAAGTATAGCCTCCCTACTTTTGCATTCAATTCTCCACACAATAAATAATAATCTATTAGCCTTCCTAATTACTTGTTGTACCTGCATACTGCCCGTTTATGATTAGTGCATTAGGAACCCAGAACCATCCGCGTCTTGGAGCTCTGCAATCTCTCACCATTCAGGTAATTTGATATTTTACAAAATTCTTCCTGTCAAAATGGACGGTTTCACATTTTCCCATGTTATACTCCATTTGCCAGATATTTGCCCACTAGTTTAAACAATCTAAAGCCTTTCGTAACCATTTTTATGTCCTCTTTACAACTTACTTATGTGTAATTAGCAAATTTTGTAACCATACCTTCTGTCCCTACATCCAAGTCATTTATATAATTTGTAAAAAGTTGAGATCCCAGCACTGATCCCTGTGGCACATCATTCATTACATTTTGTCAACCGGAAAAAGGCTTTTTTATGTCTCTTCTCTGCTTCCTGTTATTCCGCTGATTTTCTATCTGTTTCAATATGTTTAGGCTACACCATGTGGTTTTGTTTTCCACAATAAAAATGAAGAGATTTGATATGGCACTGTATCAAATGCCTTCATAACCTTAAAGACCTTGATCATGTCTGAGGAGAGTCCCACTGTACCTGTTCATCCTTTTCTGACCTGCGTATCTCTCGAATTGATGAGAATTAGATAGAAATGAACAGTGTAAGGAAATTCATTCCTCAAGTATGACGCAAAAAACAGATTATCAGGTCACTGCCAAATTGTTGTTTGTGGGATGTTGCTGTGTGCAAATTGGATGTTGTATTTTCTATAATGACAACAGTAATGAGATTTTTGCTGTAAAGTGCACTGAGATATGCTGAGGTTGTGAAGGGCATTAAGAAATGCTTGTTTTTGTTTTCTTCGGTCAAAATCATTGATGTGATTGCAATAGAGTTTGGATAAAGGGAGATAGATGGGCCAAATGCCCTTTTCCTACTTTGAATTTGCATTAGTTTCCTTGCTGAATTGTCCAGCTATTTGTCTGCAGGAGTAATTGCAATTAAGCCTGTTACAGATTAGAGTGCGCTCACTCAAATCATTTATATTATAAACTTGGGGTATGTTGCTCTCTAAATGATTTAATCTTCCCTTTGCATGTTCCAGAGCTGGTGATGTCCTGCTGTCATCCCCCTGATACTACAGTGGATAAAACAAGACAGCTTGGCCATCAAGGGGAACCTATCAACACTGCATTATGATGTACAGTCAGCTTCATTCCAAGAAATAGTCCCTGTTATTCCTCTAAGCGATAGTTTGTCACATCAGCCTGTGCAGGATGGTCTCTGCTATTCCCAGCACCAACTTGATCACCACTCTGTTGTTCAGAAAGGATCACCGTGCAGATGAGAAAGCTCGGAAGGAAGAACAGGATGAGTGATCCTGCTAGGATGAAACCACCTGCAGTCATGAAGGATATGGTGTAACTTCCTGTTAGGTCCTCCAGAAACCCTAAGTGGGAGAGACAAATTAGAAGCACAAGTCACTAAACTCAATGTTTAATCTTTATCATAGTTGCAGCCTCAACCTCTTCATTCCTGGTTTTGATGGCTCAGAGCCACACCTATTAAAGGATGTTAGAACAAAATGCTTGGATTGAAGAATAGAGATGAAGTGTACAAAAACAAACAAGAAAGTTATGCAGTTGATAAGGACTGTTCACACAACAAGTTATGTCCTAGAATTCGCTGCCTGCAAGAATGGAGGCACCAGATTCAGTAGCAACATTTAAAAGAGAAATCAACAAAATAATTGAGAGAGCAAATTAATAAGGCTCTGAGCAAGGAACAGAGGGTGCAGGATTAATTGCATAACTTTTTCAAAGGTACAGAGAAAATGACCAAGTGTGATGAATGTTCTTTTTCCTCTTCAGATCTCAGCCCGAAGATAGAAGTCCAACCAACAATACCACAACTTCAATGAAGGAGGCAGGAACGTGAATATATCCTAGCTGAAACAGGGATCAAATCCCGTGCTGGCACAATCTGATCCATAGCAGCCAGCTGAGCCAACCAACCTTCAACCCGTAAGAGTTTGCTACTACCACATGTACCACCACACCTAGACAGTTTTATATTGATTCAGTCCAGTGTCACTTACAGTTGGGTTTGCTTTATCATGAGGGAATTTAAATACACCAGGAAGTGGTGATTGATAGGACTCTATCTCCAGACACCAATAACCAATCCCAGCCAGTAAACCTCTGTGAAACACATATATCTGACACAGCTCCATAGAGACACAGTTGTAGCCAACTATATATAGTCAATATCATATTAGAATAAAAGGATCTCTAAAGCATGAGATAACAAGGCGTAGAGCTGGATGAACACAGCAGGCCAGGCAGCATCAGAGGAGCAGGAA